AAAAAAAAAAAAAAAAAAAAATGAAAAAACAAAAAGATTTTTTTGAAAAACTTTTTTTTTGCTTGCTATTGTAATCACTCTGCAGACTAGCATTTTTGATCTATTGTACTAATTGTAAAAAACAAAAATTTGTAGAACCAATTATTTTGTTATAGTTTATATGGTTTCTTCTAATTCAGTACGTATTAGCCTCTGAGGAACATTAATGGCTGATCAGTATACGTTGTAGAAAAAAAAAGACCGCAGAAATTTTGTAGTTTAGCTGTAGCTTAGAGTTGCATATAGCAGATTTTTTTTTTGCGATTTGGCAGCATTTAATGCACAATGCGAAACTGTTGATTTTGTTTGGAACTTGGTAAAAGTTAATTTCTTTCTTACTGAAATAATTTTTCACTATCATATTGGCAAAGATCTATATTGCTAGAATTATCTGGCAAAACATTTGTTTCACGTTTTTTTGGCTTGCACAAGAAGTATACATTTAATGGACAGTAAAGATAACTATCTAAAGACTAAAAAGTAGCAATTTTTTGAAGTGGTGATTTTTAAGCACAGTTGTTAGCACAGCGCTTTATCAAACAAAATTTTTCTTATTTTTTACGCTTTTTTTTTCAGTTAAAAAGTGGTGATGACAGCTGTAGTTTCATTGGCAGTGGCAGAACAACTGTTGGCGAGTTCATCAAAGATTTTTGAAGTGTTTAACATTTGTTGATAAGGGTGAAAACTTAAAATTTTGCATTTGTGAAAGTGAATGCAAAACTAAGTAAAAGCAACTGACTATCACCTACATATAGCGATTGCCTTGGTATTGCTTTTGCTCTTCTCTTGCTGCTTCAATATCTAAAGATTCTACTCACGAAGCAAAAAAATTATAAAACTGAAGTCTAAAACAAAGCTTGAATTTTGTAAGTACAATTGATTTAGCTGATGCGTAAGAATCAGGGTTTTTACAATAATTTTTTCTGCCGGGTAAAAAGCTTCGACTAAACAATAGTGCCTTTTTTCGCTGTTTAAGTGATCAGTAAAGTAGCACTTTTGGTGAATGAAAGCGGCTACATTCAAAACAAAATCTGTTTATTTTGCTATTGCTACAGAAATATAGCGATTTTTCAGTTACCAGAACTATTAAATTTTTTTTGCGGAACTGTTACTTGCAAGATGTTAACGTTTTATCTAAGTTGTTTAGAGATGCTACATCAAATGAAGCTTCTTAGCCAGATATGCTTCAAGACAGAAAACGTAGGTAAAAAAAGGCTTTTACTACCTCCACTGAATTATAGAACAGCGATGATACTGTCCAGAACTTTTTTAATTTTGTTGTAGTTGCTTTTATTTTACAAAAAAATTTTTTTAGGTAATTTAGGCTAACAAAAAAAAGGGAGGTTTTTTTCTACCTTTGCTGGCTAGTACTTTCAAAATAAACTTCTGTATGATACAGTCACATCAGCTTTTTTTATTTTTACTAGTTGTAGCTTTGGTCAAAACGGAACATACAGAATGTTCTTAAGAAATTAATTTTGTGTAGGAATTGCGTGTCTTTAATTTTTGTTCTAATTTATTTTTTCTTTTCTTAAATCGTTTTTTCCAAATAGCTCTATAAAGATGAATAGGTGAGAGTTGGTCAGTAACAGTTCTGGCGAAAAGAAGTATAGAAAAACAAAAGAAAGGAAATCAAAAATATTAACAAGGATGTGAAATATATTGCGTTTCTTCGTCTTTGAACGGGATCTTAATTAATCAGTCAAAGTTCAAATAAAAGTCAAGAATGGAACTATTGTTAAAGATGCTTAAAAACTTTATTGAAAAATTTGCTGCAGTTCACAGGCTATCTTAATTTTAGCTGTTGTTGCTCAATTTGACGCAAACAGTTTGAAGAAATTTATTTGATCAAGTTAATCTCATAGTGTTTCTGCTATTTTTTGCGCTACATCTGAGTGATTGTCAGTCATTAGTTTCTCTCTTTCAGCTAGCAAAGGTTTTAGGTGCTTGACAGAAATGTAGATATCAAGAATTAAAGAGCCTTTTTGCTACTGTTGTTGTTACCGCAGTTGGCGCCAGTATCACAAAATGCTTTTGTAAAAAATTCGAAAAAAATTTTATTCTGTACAGTTACTGAAGTTTAACTACCCGAAGAGGGTTGGCCACAGATGTTGGTTACAGTACTGAAAATTTTCTGACAGGTTGTCTCGCCTGCAAACAGAAGTAAAACGAAAAAACGTAAAAAAAAAAAAAAAAGAAGAAAAAGCCGCGTTTTACAGTTACAACTTGCTAACTTTTTTTTTACATGCATGTTCATTTTTACATAAATAACTGCTTTTTAGCTATCAGTATCAAAGCAAATTTTTTAGATACTATTTTTTTCTATCACTGGGCCATTCTTCTCTGTTATTATTAAAGCTACTTTTTACTTTTATTCACCTTCTTCTATACAGTTTTCTTTTAATTTATTTTTATTCTTGCATTATTCAGTTACGGGCTTGCAGTTCAATAGAATAGTTTGTATAACCTGACATACTTCTAGTTTCTTACAAAGGTCAAATCAGTTTTCAAACAACTCTCTTTCATATTCACTTTAATTGCCTCTGCTGATTCGCATTTTTCCTTACTTCAATTTCACTTCCTTCTGCCTTGACGAACAAACAAAAGTCCAAATAAACAAACATACAGTTGCACGAACACAGTAAATTAGGAAAAATATGCACATTAATAATGGTTTTTTTTTCTGTTTAATTTGTTATTAACATTGTATTGTTTTGCTTGTAACGTGAACGGGTTCTGTAATAACTTGTATAATTCTGTCATGCAGATTTGCGTGTGTGATCTATGGTGCCATTAATATTGGATGTTTCTGTATAGTTTTTGGCAAAAACACTGAATTTTCTGTTAAAACACCGGCCAATAAACGCTGACAAATGTGTACCCTCATTTATAATACTTCAAAAGTAATAGTTTTGACAGTTTACGGGTATTTATTACCACTCAGACTCAAGCAGTGGTGTTAATAACGATGATCATGCTAATGGTGTACAACAAAAGGCAAAGAATAGCCGATGTGAAAACAGCAATGAATTTGGTGCTTTTGAACAATCTGTGAATAAAACAGCAACTACACGTATGATAAATAAATGGCTACGAAGTTTCCGTTTGATCTCCTACACTTTCATCTTCTACTTTTTCCTCTTTTTTTTTTGTTCGGCTTTTTCTACTACTTTTTACTATTCTAGTACGTCAAAACTAATTCTCCTCTTTCATCTTCTTTCCCCAGCTTTCACATTTTTTATTATCTGATACAAACTTTAGGTATTTTCATTTCTATATTATGCTTCTTCTTCTTTTCATTTTGCTTCATTTTTATTTTTCTTTTGTTTTCTTTTATTTATTTTGTTTCGCTTATTTATTAAAATACAACGTTTTTAAAGTAATAGCTTTTAGAAATAGCGGTGCTATCGCACATCTTTAGCTGTAGTATTTTATTTTAACTTATTATTACCGTCACTATTGACTTTTATCACTATTATTTCTATTTTTATTTTTATTCTTTTATTTTTATTTTTATTTTCTTTATTTCTTTTTTTTTTCAATTTTTTCATTATTGTCATTAGTGATACTGGTATTATTAATATCAATGCTATATTTACTGTTTCTGCAACTATTTATGTTATTATTATTATTTTTATTATTACTGTTACTGTTACAATTACGATCACTATCGCTGTTACTATTACCTTTACTATTACAATCACTGTTATTATTATTATTATTATTTCTATTTTCATTTTCATTTTTATTTTTATTTTTATTTTTATTTTTTATTTTTATTTTTATCTTTATTTTTATTTTTATCTTTATTTTTGTTATTATTATTACTACTGCTGCCATTATTATTACTGTTATTATTACTGCTACTACTACTATTAATATTATTATTGCTGTCGCTATTGC